TAGTAGAGTAGTTGCTTTTTATGTGGAATTAGTTGAGTCTATTTTTAGACTTAGAGTTTGTATAAATATGTAGTATCATTGAATGAAACTTACACACTTCCCCACTTTCTCATTTCTCTCTCAATAATAAGAACTACAGTGGTATCAGAGCCTTAAATTCTGAAGGGATCTGTGAGTGAGGATTAGTGAAATATTCCCGAGAGAAACTAAGTGATACACCTGTGAGAGTTTTGTCTAATGGAGTTAGGATCAAACAATCTTTCTTCACTGGCTGTAACTGTGTTTGATGGTGAAAACTATCAAGCATGGGCAATCAGAATACAAGCCTACATGGAGGGTTGTGATTATTGGGAAGCAATTGAGCAAGATTACGAAATTGCTCCACTTCCTGATAATCCAACGATGCATAGATCAAGACTCACAAGGAGAGGGTCACCAGGAAGGCAAAGGCTCGAGCTTGCCTATATGCAGCTGTGTCTCTCGCCATATTCAACAGAATTATGGCATTGAAGTCAGCAAAGGAGATCTGTGAGTTCCTCAAAAGTGAGTATGAAGGTGATGAGAGGATTAAAGGCATGAAGGTGTTGAACTTGGTGAGGGAATTCGAGAGAATGCAGATGAAGGATTCTGAGTCCATCAAAGAGTACTCAGACAAGTTGATCGGAATTGCTAACAAGGCAAGAGCATTAGGAACTGATCTATCTGACAATAGATTGGTTCAGAAGATTATGGTTTCAGTACCTGAGAGATATGAAGCAACCATTGCTTCCTTAGAGAATACTAAAGACATCTCCAAACTCAAAGTGATAGAAGTTGTTAGTGCTTTACAAGCACAAGAGCAGAGGAGGTTGATGAAGCAAGAAGGAAGCATTGAGGGGCACTGAAAGCTAGAATGCAGTAGGGAGAAGGTGGAAGAGAGAAGAAGTGGAAAGGGAAGAAGGCGAGTGGCAGCAGTAGCTCAGAATCTACTGCAAAGGATGTTGGTAGTGCATGCAAGTACTGCGGGAAGCACAACCATCCACACAAGAACAATAGTTTAGACAACTRGAGTTTGAATCGAGGGATCTTCAGCTCCGAGAACTCCGGGACCAGGCGGCCATTCTGGGCGGGTCGCAATAAGTCGTTGCGGTTTTCCAATTCCATCCAGAACCGGGAGTTCTCATTTTCAATGGAGGCCAGTTTACGAGCGAGGAATTTCAGACCCTAGATTTCATTTCATTGCAAACCACAAGTTCCTTGATTACAAACTCTCTGGCCTCCAGGGCGCTAGAGAAGGTCAGATGTGAAGTGTAGAAGGTGTAATTTATTGGGACACATTGAACGATTTTGTAAAGGTGCCAAGACTCAACAATAAGGAGGAGCACATACTGCAGTACAGCAAGAAGAAGATCAACTCTTTGTGGCTACCTGTTTCTCATCAACCAATCAATGTGATGGTTGGTTGGTTGATAGTGGGTGTACCAATCATATGACAAGTGACAAAGAGTTGTTCAAGGACCTTGACAAGTCATTCAAGTCAAGGGTGAAGATAGGACATGGTGAGTATCTAGAAGTGAAAGGGAAGGGCACAGTGTCAATAGAGAGTTGTGCTGGAACAAGTTGATTAATGAAGTGTTGTTTATTCCTGAGATTGACCAAAACCTGTTAAGTGTTGGTCAACTAGTAGATAAGGGATTTAAAGTGTTGTTTGAAGACGGGAAGTGCCTCATTTCTGATTCCAGTAGGGATGAGTTGTTCAAAATAAAGATGCAGCACAAGAGCTTTTCATTAGATCCATTCGAGAAGGAGCAAATAGCTTTCAAGTGTCAAGTGAATGATACTAAGTTATGGCACAAGAGGTTGGGGCATTTTCATCAGAAGAGGTTGCAGTATCTGCAGAAAAATGAGATGGCAATAGGAGTACCGATTTTGGAGAAGCTGAAAACAAACTGCAGAGCTTGTCTGACAGGGAAGCAAACAAGATTGCCATTCAAGAAGTAAATTTGGAAAGCAACCGAGAAGCTACATCTCATCCACACTGATTTGTGTGGACCTCAACCAACTCTTTCATTAAATGGTAGCAGGTATTTTATTATCTTTATTGATGATTATACTCAGATGTGTTGGATATATTTCATGAAGTAGAAATCTGAAGCAGCTGGAGTGTTTCTAAAGTTTAAAAGATGGGTTGAGAATCAAAGTGGCTGTAAGATTCAAGTGGTGAGGACCGACAATGGGACTGAATATACATCACAAAGGTTTAATTCCTTCTGTGAAGAAGCTGGTATAGAACATCAACTCACTGCTCCATATTCTCAACAACAAAATGGAGTTAGTGAAAGGAAAAACAGGTGTATTATGGAGATGACAAGATGCTTGTTGCATGAGAAGACTTTGTCAAAGGAGTTTTGGGCTAAAGTAGCAAACACAACAATCTTTCTATTGAATAGACTACCTACAAGGGTCTTGGAGAAGAAGACCCCCTATGAAGCTTGGTTTGATACTAAACCAAAACTGACAAATTTGAAGGTGTTCGATTGCTTGTGTTTTTTCCATGTTCCACAGGTGAAGAGAGACAAGTTGAGTGAGTAGGCAGAACCAGGAATCTTTGTAGGCTATAGCATAATGTCCAAAGCCTACAAGATCTATCAACCTCACATAAAGAAGATGGTGATTAGTAGAGACGTTCAATTTCTGGAGGATGAGGAATGAGACTGGACAGAAGAAGCAGAGGTGAAGCAACAAGAAGTCTCTCTGGATCCTGATGAACTAGTTGATGATGCACCAGTGAGAGGGACTAGACTACTGACTGAGGTGTATGAAAGAAGCAGCGTAGCTGTGTTGGAGCCTGCAGGGTTTGAAGAAGCTCAAAAAGATCAAAAGTGGATGGAGGCAATGAAGGAGGAGTTGAGAATGATAGAGAAGAACAAGACATAAGAGCTAGTGGAGAAGCCTACTGACAGAAAGGTGATTGGAGTCAAATGGGTTTTCAAGACTAAATTAAATCCAGATGGCTTTGTGAACAAGCTTAAGGCCAGGTTAGTAGTGAAAGGGTATGCACAAGTCTAGGGAGTTGATTTCTCTGAGACTTTTGCACCGGTTGCAAGAATGGACACAATCAGGATGCTACTGGCTGTGTCAACTCAGCATGGATGGAAGGTGTATCAACTAGATGTGAAGTCAGCATTCCTCAATGGAGTGTTAGAAGAAGAGATCTACGTTGAGCAACTAGACGGGTTCATCACACCAGGGCAAGAGCAGAAAGTTTATTTACTGAAGAAGGCTTTCTATGGGTTGAAGCAAGCTCCTCGGGCATGGTACAACAAGATGGATGATCATTTGCTGAGCTTGGGTTTTGTGAAGAGTCTGAGTGAATCCACACTCTATGTGAAGAAATCAGGTACTGCTATTGTGACTGTATCTCTTTATGTAGATGACTTGCTGGTGACAGGAAGTGATAATAATCAGATAGAGGTGTTCAAGCAAGAAATGATGAAGGTGTTTGAGATGACCGATCTAGGTCTGATGCATTACTTCCTTGGCATGGAGATTCAGCAAGGACAGAATGAAGTGTTTCTCTCTCAGAAGAAGTACATGAGAGAGATATTGAAGAGGTTCAATATAGAGGAGTGTAAGAGTGTGAACACTCCGATGATTCAGAAGGAGAAGTTGCAGAAGGATGATGGGGAGGAACCTACAGACGAGAATGTGTACAGAAGTCTAGTTGGATGTCTCATGTATCTCAAATCCACTAGGCCTGACATCATGTACACTGTAAGTGTCTTATCTAGATTTCTTCATTGTGCAAGCAAGAATCATATGGTTGCTGGAAAGAGGGTTTTGAGATATCTTAAAGGCACACTATCTTTTGGGATCAAATACAATAAAGTTGAAAATTTTGAGTTGCAGGGTTACTTAGATAGTGATTGGGCTGGGTCATTAGATGATATGAAGAGTACCTCTGGCTATTGTTTCACTTTTGGCTCAGGGTGTTTCTCATGGTGTTCAAAAAAACAAGATATAGTGGCTCAGTCAATTGCAGAAGCTGAGTTCATTGCAGCAACAACAGCAGTCAACCAAGCTGTTTGGTTGAAGAAGTTGATGTGTGACTTGCATCTAAAGAAAGAAGAGAGTGTGAAGGTATTTGTGGATAATCAAGCCACTTTAGCTATTTCATTAAATCCGGTTTTTCATGGAAGGACCAAGCACTTTAAGATCAAGTATTATGTTCTTAGAGAGATGTAGAAGGAAGGAGAAGTTCAGTTGGTGCACTGCAGCTCAGAGGAGCAAATAGCAGATATCTTCACTAAGTCCTTTAGTGTGGGTCGTTTTCAAGCTCTTAGGAGCAAGTTGGGTGTTTTTAGTATTTGAGTTAGGAGGAGAATGTAAGTTAACTCAAATTACAAGTTTGATTCTTTTAGTTTTTGAATTTGTCTAGTCCAAGTCATAGTTTCTAGGAAGTTGTTAGGGTTATTTTTGGTATAGTCAAGTCAACTAGGTAGGTTGCTATTCTTATGGCTAGTGGAGTAGTACTTAGAGTTTGTATAAATATGTAGTATCTGAAACTTACACACTTCCCCACTTTCTCATTTCTCTCTCAATAATAAGAACTACAAAAATGTCTGTCTTCTCCGAAGAGAAGTTATTTCTCTACTAGTGGTAGAATAACTTTTTCTTTTAGTTTTTTTATGTTTAATTTTTATTTTATGAAACAATTTCATTGATGGTACGCAATTATAAAAATAAGGGAAAATCTCATCCAAAGGAGTAACAAAAAAACTTCTCTACTTGGAGAAACGAGAAGAAAAACTATATCACTAATAAAATACATCCATAGGACTTTCGTATTCTTCCCAAGAGTGTGACCCACCATAACTATTTTTAGGAGAATATTGGAGGAGGTAGTAGAGTGGAATCTCGACTTACTTCCGTTCCTTATTTTGAGTGCCTATTTCACTTATTAAGATCTTGGAAACTATTGTGAGGGATTTCTTATGGGACGGGGCCGATGAGGGGAAAAGTTCTCATTTAGTCAAGTCGGAAAGAGTGTCCAAGTCCTTGGATCTTGGGGGTCTAAGCATTGGCAACCTGCGAGCGCGAGGGAGACCTTTTTGGCTAAGTGGTTGTGGCGCTTTCTTCGAGAGTGAGAGTCTAACACATCATGGCATAAGGTTATTGTGAGCAAGTATGGTCCTTATCCATTTGAGTAAATCTCGAAGGGGGTTTGAAAAACACTTCTAAAAATTTGTGGCAAGCTATTTCTGATGGGCTTCCTTGTTTCTCTTAGTTTGTTCAGTGTTATGTAGGTGATCGGTTGGACACTTATTTTCGGGTGGATAGGTAGTTGGAAGATAGATCCCTCTGTTACTTGTTTTCGTGTTTGTACCATCTATCATCGACGAGGAATCATTCGGTGGCTTTTGTCTTACCTTCTTTCAAGATCTCCTCCTCTCCATTATTTGCTTCTGTCATCCTTGATCTGATAACGATCAGATGAATATCGTGGCTCCTATCGTCTCAGCTTGGGGAGTTTTCTATTATTGTGGGGAGAGGATATTTGTCTACGGGATCCTAGTACTTTTTATGGGTTTTTTTGTAGTTTTATTTTCAATTGCTCGGTGAATCTCTATACCCCAAGTTCCTCTGTTTTCTCCTTGCTGTGAAATGTTGAAATTTCCAAGAAAGTATAATTTATTTTCTTGTGTGGTAGGTCCTTCATGATAGAGTAAAGGAAGTCGCCCCTACTAATAAGGCTGCATTGTTATATCTTTATAGGGTCGCAATAGATGATCTTGATCATCTATCTCCTTCCGAACTGCCCATTTTGCTTACTCGGTTTGGAATTATTATTTTGAGGCATTTAGTTTTTTTGCCTGGATCAGCCAAGAGATGGTAGTTTGTTGGTGGAGGGCTGCTCCTACTTTCGCCTTTTCGTGATAAGGGTCGTTTTTCGTGGCTCGGTGATATTTGTGTCATTTTATGGGGTATTTGGATTGAGAGAAACAATATAACTTTCAGAGGGTAGAGAGGTCTTGGAGGAGGTTTAGTCCCTGGTAAGATTTCATGTTTTGCTTTAGACTTTGGTGGTTTAAGATTTTTGTTATTGCTCGTTAGGTCTTATTTTCTTAGATTGAAGCCTCTTTCTGTTTTAGTTTGGCCTATTTGTTGGGTTGCTTTTTTGTATGCCCCTTATTTTCTATGATTTTTCTCAACGAAAGCGAGGCTCCTTTTGAGGGGGAAAACAAAGAAAAGAAAAATCATGGCAATATTTAATGTTAAGTTTCATTTTCATCCCTTACATATTCTTTGTATATTTTGTGGCAGCATATATGCTGTACTAACAAAGAGTGTTCATTACAGGTTCCACTTCCTAATTTGGAGAAATTGATAATTAGAAAAGCAGACAATGTGAGGCTGGTATGTAAAAGGAAACTCATTCCACATACCTTTGGGAAGCTCAAAAGAGTAGAAATTGTTGACTGCAACAAACTTGAAAAGGTTTTTCCTTTCAATCATTCAATGTGATGAGCACGCTAACCTGCCTTTAAAAGGTTTTTCCTTTTAAAGAGTTATGCAATCACGATGTGGTATGTTAGAAGGAATCTTTGAAAGCCATGGGATGGAAAATGTTACAGAAATATTCGATGCGTTGCTCCCTAAATTGAGTTCCTTGAGATTAACTGATCTGCCAAATCTAAAGTATGTTTGGAGGAAGGACCCTTATGAAATTCTAATTTTTGGAAAACATACAACAGTTGTATATTCTCCGGTGTCCAGCGCTTAAAAGAGTATATCTAGGTAATTTTCTTCAACAACTTGAAAGGTTGAAAATGAAGTGCAATGAATCAGTGGAGATTCATGGGAATGAAATGTCACCAAGGATGCTGGAAATGAATCAGTTTGAATCCAAGGTAAACTTTGCATTATCAACTTTATTGACTATTTTAACAAATGAAATTTAATATGCACTAGACCATGCTTTTCGGTCTGTGTTGGGAAAGTTTTCTCTTGCACTTTTGTAGCTTGCCATCCATTTTCTTTTCTTTCTTTCTTTCTAGGAACCATCCAGGCTATGTGTTAAGTTGTAATAATGAAATTAACTCCATTTTCATTTTTTATTTTTAATTTATTGATTTCTATTTTTTCAAGCTCATGACATGGATAAATATTGGATCATTATGGTGATACTAAAATAAATATTCAAAATAGCTTTTCCATTGAGTTAAGATATTATTGTTTTTAGTGACTTCACTAGGTGCACTTGTAATTTATATTCATGTATATACGTAGAATTCATGTGTCTCAACGAATATTGGACCACTGTCCTTTTTCTGAAGATTTACTAGTAAAGGACTTGTAAATTCTAAATTGAATTTCATAACTATATTTCATACAATTTTTTTCTTGTTGGACCATGGCTATACAAATATGGTGAATTCAAGTCTTTTTGGTTGAATTGTACTTTTCATCCTAATATGATTGCTTTATAATTTGTGACAATATTTACTGTTTATGGTCATTCCACTTTGAATGATTGTGTTGATTGCAGGTATCTTTTCCTAATATGAAGCATATGAAAATTGAAGGCATAAGAAATTTGAAGATAATTTGCCACAATGTACTCGTTCATGGTTCCTTTGCAAAACTTGTGATATGAACCAAAGTGTCTTAGTACTCAAGGATTTAAAGGAAGATGTTGGAGAATCTTATGTCCAAGTTGACAACAAATCGGAGTTGCATTAAATGCACTCTAGTTTCATTTATGGCCAACTCAAGTTGCATTCATGGAAGTCAAAGTTGAACTCAAGATGCATTCATGGAAGTCAAAGTTGAACTCAAGTTGCATTCAATGAACTTAAGTGCATCGCAAGCTTCATTTATTGCAAGTCATACATCAATTAAAGGAACTACATTTCAAACTACTTCAAGTGAAGCTTCATTTAAAATTGGGAGGTGACAAAGACTTTGAAGGGTGATCAAGATTTCAATTCTCGGATTTAAACCTATTTTTATTATATTTTCAGTTTTACACATTTCGTTTATGTGTTTCAAGTTACATTTTAGCTAGTGGATGTTATGGTCATCATGTAATTGGGAGTTACAACCTTTCAAATGTCTTTAGGTTACTTTTAGGGTTGTTTTGGAGGCTATAAATAGCCTAACTTGTTTCCTTTGAAATAGAGATTTTATGATTGAATGAAAGTTGCTATTCTGCTTCAAAAGCCTAGAGCTTGTTTTTCTTTGCAATTCTTTGGTGTTAGTTGTATGTTAGAATCATTCAAGTAGCCTTGATCAAGCTATCTTGTGGAGTGGTTCGAATCTTGAGTTTAGAAACAAGTTTTCTCTACTCTTGATATTGATCATCAAGGTAAATCCGTTCTAACTTTTTCCTTGGGTTGACATCATCTCGATTTGGGGGTTTTAGCATTTGTGATCTAGGGGTTTGCATAACCATAAGGGCTGGCCAATCTAGCCAAGCTCCAGGCCCTTCAGGCTCAGCCTTTGCAGACCATTGTCGGGGGCGAGGAGTCAGTTACCCCTCTGCTTCGGAAGAAACGGGCGAGGGAGACGCTTCCCTCCGAGGAAGTCAACTCCAAGTCTCCACCTCCCCCCATCATGGTTGATTCGGAGGAGGGGTCTCAACATTGTTGGCAACACGGCGACGAGCTCCCGCTCCCCTTCAAGCTCGCCTTTTC